CAGGGCATGGAACTGACCAAAACATACATCGTTTAGCACTTCTTTTGAGTTGTTTATTTTAGTTGCTACTCGGCGAGAAAATGCCATGCTTGAATTGCTGTTGTCATACTTTTCAGCACGGTGCAGTTACGAGAAACATTTCAGGCAGTCAAAATTTGCTATGAAAAATTGAACGGCTCACATGAATGTAACAACGCTTGAGATAGCGATCATAACCGCGAGGGGATAACCACCGAATTTCGATAGTACGAACAACGCTAAACGATTGTGCAGACTACTTTCTTCGACTGCCAACGCGATCATCAACGTACAAAGGATCAACAATGATGTATCCTTAACAATCAGATTCTCCATTAGAGGATATAAGTGGTCATTCGTTTTCGATAACTTGAAAGCAGTTCAACGGAATGTTCCCTGAGGGTGCGATTCAGCTTTAGGAACAACTCAGCGAAACTGTTTATATAATCTACTTTTTAAAGATCCAATCACATTACTATGCAAATATGGATCACATTAATTACATCAACATGTCATTTATGATTTGCTATAATTTCAACATTTGACTCACTCTTACAACGAATTCCTGAAGGTGAAACAGGTGTTGTGAGGTTCTTTCCAGCATCATGTATATTCACATTTCTATATGGAAATATTGGAGTTCATGATTTTCTACAGATCAGATTCTATTCATCAGACAATGAGATCTTTTGAAAGAGATCATATCTTTGATACGTATGATGATAACTTTTGAAATCAGTCAAATCTATGGTGATGTGAATACCTTCAGATAGCTGCTGCATATTTCATGTGTTGATATTATGCCGAGTGCCGGAAATAAAAGTATGGGAAGAAGCGCAGTAATCGGAATTGCAACCACTTCAAATAGCCAATAGGACATGATCAAGATAATACCATAAGCGCATTTCAGCGGCTGAAATGAAAATGAAATAAACATTGTTGAATGATAAAGCATTGAACCTATCGTAAGGAACCTCTGAGGGTTGGCTTTAAACTCGAATGAAGTTAGTTTTAACAGTGCATATGAATTCTGTATCATATGTTTATTCTTAACAATTTTGTATTTATTTTGATAAATTTCTTGTAAATAACATCTCACTCTCCCTCAAATTATCGTATATGAGGTATTATCGATGCCAGATCTAATTGTAAGATGAAATACTTATAATCATCAATATATAGTCGTTTTGAATTGAACGGCAACGAACTAACCAAACTTGACGTGATTTACAGTAATCTTAACAAGTCTCAAGGAAATATCTACTGTATTGTGATGCACATTTCGAGAAAAGTTGAAATAGACGCTCTAAGACGGTTGATAATTGTATTTTACAAGGTGTGTACAATTCTCATGCACAAAAACAGTGGAACACCATGACTTTCACTGATAACTTACAATTTAGTCAGTAATTAATTACATCATAATCAGTAGCTATTAGTTGCACAGCAGTGAAGTTTCAATCATGTAATCATAACAATATTATTATTGTAACATCGACTGAACATGCGTGAATCAAGTGAAAAAAACACGAAAATATAACTGTGGGTTTAGATGCGAGTTTATAGACCAATGGTTCTCATAGGGGGTGAAATTACCCATTTTGGGTAACTTGGAGGTGTCAAGGGGTAAAGAGGAGGTCGGGAAATTAGTATTTCGTGCAGTTGTTATATTATGATGGTAGTTGATGGCAACACTCTTCATTCACCTATTTTCTGAGTATCATTAGCTCGTCAGGGCCTAACAGAGTTTTCA